CCAAAATAAAATATTTAGGTGACGACTCTGTATTTGGCAAAGCAGGTTTTCAAAAATAGATATCACGGTTAGTAGAGGCCGATCTTTGATCGGGCGAGCGGGGGTGCTCACGAAGTGACCTTCCCCAATCGTACCCAAGTTCCCGAGCCGAGGCAACTTTGGTGATGACGGACACGTGGCCTTTGGCACCGAGTCAGGGTTTCCTAAAATAAAATATTTAAGATAAAAATTAAAAAAATATATTTAAAATAAAAATTAAAAATTCTTAAATATTTAAAATGTTAAAAAAATACATCGCACAAATATAATAAATACAGCGCACATTAAAAAAATATGTACAATAAAAAATATTTACCCTAAAAAAATAAAATTAAGAAAAAATTTAGATATTTAAAAAAAGAAAAACAAACCCAAAAAAATTCAAAATACAACTTAAAATTTAAAATACAACTCAAAACTCTTTTCAAAACTCATAATCAATTTTCACTTTTCAAAACTCATTCTAAAAACTCAAAACTCAAATCATGATTCAAAACTAAACCAAATGATAAATTTTCTAAGAAGAAGAGTTGAAATAAAAAGTGTACTCTTTAAAAACAGTTGTAGCTTTGAAGTTGCTCCTAATAAATTAGGTTAGCAAAATTAAGTATTTGATGTTTCTCTATAAGCTTGAATTCCAAATGTCTCATTAAAAATTTAGAAGTATAACTACTTTACCCTGAAATTCTTTGATACACATTTATTTAGTTTGATGTTTTGGACAATTAAAAAGCTATCCCTTTGACACTTTCACATTGTGATTGTACACTTGCAAGTAAGTGCAACTAAATTTTCACTTCAATGGATTTGATTTAGTAGATAAAAAAAAACATAATTAAAATTACTTATTACTTATCATTAAGAGCTGTTTCCCTCCTATTTATCCTGAAACATCTCAAACTTTGGCATTATCGGAGATTCATCCGATCATTAATTTTAGAATTCTAAAATTTAATCGAGATATACATAAGTTGATCCGAAAATCCTGAAATTCTCAAGGTAGGCCGCTATTAATCTGTTACGCCAAGTCATGCACTAAGAGGGACACGTCCTAGTCATAGGGACTATATTTACATGCAGTATTTCTGATTTTAATATTTTATCTATTTGTATGGAAAGATTTATTATTATTTCACAAATTATATTATTTTTTAGGGTAAATTATAAATATGCCCCTTGAGTTTTGCTTAAAGTACAGATTGCCCTCTATAGTTTGAAAAATTACAAATACCTCATTGTTAGTATTTTTTATTTAATAGAATTAACTAAAAAAATAAAATTCATAATTACTCTCCTATACAATAATAAAATTATCTAAATTATTAATTGAAACATATTTTTAACATCATTAAAAACTGTTAATTGACTTGGTGATTTATTAATAAAATGAACGATTTGTTATAAAATTAGAAACCTCAAAGGGTGGAATGTAATTTCCAAAACTACAGGAAACGATTCATATTTTAATCAAATCTCAAGAGGTATATTTATAATTTTCCCTATTTTGATCAACAATCATATCATGTTACATCTGTGGTTAATTTTGTTTTTGTAAAATATATGTTGGGTAGCTTAAAAAATGATATAGATACTTTTTAGGGGTAGACAAATATCGGATTGGGTTGGGATTAGGTCAAGCTGACACTATTTAGAATATGGTGTGTCATTCCAAGCTTAATTTGACCCCACATTGGCCTAACCTAATCATTCCAAAGCCCCATCCTAAATGAATGTCTAAATCTCAAACCTAATGAATATGAATCATTATTATTTTCGTCTTGAAGGACTATTTAATTATTTAAATCATTTTAATAATGATTTGAATTTAAAATATTAATAAAATTTAATTATAAAATAAATATAATCTTTTAAGAAGTACTTTAATATAAGCTATTGCAAGAAGTGTATATATATGTCTTTTTCTTTATCTTTTATCATTTTTCTAATTTATTTTGTAATCAAATAATATAAAAATTAAAATTAGTATTTTCTAAATAAATGGACTGGGTTAGACTGGGCAAGCACTCTTTATTCCAAGCGCAACCAAAAAATTAAATGAGCTAAATTTTGTTGTCTAACTTGATTCTATGGGTTAAATATTTTTTTCAAATCTTAATGATATCGACTTGGACTAGGCGGGTCATCGGGCCGATGGTCACCCCTACAATCACTACAAGAAATACATGATTTAACGGCGTTTATTTAACGATGTTTTTTTAAACGTCACTATTTCTAATATTTAGCGACGTTTTATAAACGTCACATTTTATTTTTATTCAAACGGTACCGTTTAAGCAATGAAGTCGTTTGAAAAGCGCCTTCAAATGTGTTACAGTAGTGTCTCTCTCTCTCTCTCTTCAAACGACTTGGACTAGGCGGGTCATCGGGCCGATGGTCACCCCTACAAACACTACAAGAAATACATGATTTAACGGCGTTTATTTAACGACGTTTTTTTAAACGTCACTATTTCTAATATTTAGCGACGTTTTATAAACGTCACATTTTATTTTTATTCAAACGGTACCGTTTAAGCAACGAAGTCGTTTGAAAAGCGCCTTCAAATGTGTTACAGTAGTGTCTCTCTCTCTCTCTCTCTCTCTCTTCAAACCCTCAAATCTCTCACAACTTATTTGAATCTGAGAAACCCTAGAGCCTCAGAGAAACCGATCCCTCAAATCTCTCACTCGCTCTCTGTCTCTCTCTCTCCAAACCCTTCAGTTCCTTCAACTTGATTCAACCTTCTTCAGCTCGGTTATTCATCATTCGGTCAATCCAATCTCAGAATGATTTTGATTTCAAAGCTCCACCGCCACCGCCATCACCATCTGCATCTGCATCGACTACTAACCATATGCACGATTTCGATTTCGATTTCAATCTAATCTCAGTTTCGTCGATTCTTCTCTTTCTCGATCTCTCTCTCGATCTCTCAATCTCTCTGGATCTCTGTTTCTCTCGCACAATCTTATTCTCTACGTACACATTATCTGTACTTTTTTTGGAAAATTTTTTTCTCCTAAAAATCTCTCTATACAAGTATATATATGAATTTATATATGTATCTCTATGTATTGATAGAATAATCATCCTTATCTGGACCTATTCCAAACAGTGGTTCGTTTTCACTTTTCACTCCCATCAGGTTTCTTGTTAGAGAGAATGTTGTTCTGTAGTGTCCTTGAATGATTGATGTAAAATGCTATGCTAATTTTTTGTGTACCTTCTGCAGCTTTGCTAATAACATAAATCTATGTGGACTGGTTACTGGGAAACCCTGCCCTGGATCTCCACCATTTGCCCCTTCTCCATTTGTTCCACCATCAACAATCTCTTCTCCAAGTAATGTCTGTTATTGTGGCTGATACTGCTATTTATTGTTTGGCTCAATGAATTTTACTTTGGTTTTTCTTCCCATTTGGTCATCATGGACAAAGAAAACTTTTCTATGCTACTGTTATTTTCTGGAAGCAGTCTATTAACTGCACAGATCCATAATTAAGAATTTAGTTTGCCCATGTTACCCCAAAAGTTGTGTGAGTTAATGACTAGCTTTATTTGAAGCACCTAATAGTTAATAGGATTTAAAGTATGAGGTCCAATGTTTGGCTTGACTGGTAAGTTAAACCTTCTACCTCAAACAATTCATTGCTGCATTGACATTCTTACTTGATAAGGGAAAGGACAACTTTTGTATTTTTATATTTGTAGTTTTCCTAACTTGATGTGAAATGTTAGTAGATAGTTATTTTAGATTAATTGCTTGACTCTGTGGCTGTTGATAAGTGTGTATTGAGATTGATTTGTTAGCTTTCTTAGTGAAGGGATTAGTTTTGTTGGTCATCCTGACAAAACCCGTAAACGTACTATCAAGAGGACCTTGACTTTTTGTTCTTGTTCTTGAACTAGGACAGCCCACGTTTATAGAAAATGAGTGTTTGCTGTTAATCTACTTTTGTGGTGGTTACATGCCAATTCCATATACAATTTATGAAATCATTTGCCTCCTCTTTCTTCTTTTTTGTTGGTTTGAATTTTAAGGTGTTAAAATATATCAATGCAGTCTTTTAATTGGTTTGTATGAATTTGTGATAATCAATATATTACACATGGGTTCTTTTAATTGGATTGTCAAATCCCCTCTGGTTGGGCATCCAGCAATATTGACTTGTGATACACTGATACAGTATTGTTGTTCAAGCTTGCCATGGCTCTCATTATAATCAGAGAGTTCTACTGTATGACAGAACAAGAACAAATAATCAATGCATTCTTTTTGATGCACCAGTGATATTATATCTCTGAACTGTGATACAAAATAGGACTTCTATTAGATTTTGCTGACTTCTGTCCAACTTCAGCTTGAATTACACTATTACAGTCATGCTAGGCGGTTCTGGATTTAGAGTGAAGGCATATGGATGTCACTACCTAAGAAATTGTAACTATCACAAAATGTTGACTGATTGAATAGTTTAAAAAATGTAAAAATCTCTCTATACAAGTATATATATGAATTTATATATGTATCTCTATGTATTGATTGAATAATCATCCTTATCTGGACCTATTCCAGACAGTGGTTCGTTTTCACTTTTCACTCCCATCAGGTTTCTTGTTAGAGAGAATGTTGTTCTGTAGTGTCCTTGAATGATTGATGTAAAATGCTATGCTAATTTTTTGTGTACCTTCTGCAGTTTTGCTAATAACATAAATCTATGTGGACCAGTTACTGGGAAATCCTGCCCTGGATCTCCACCATTTGCCCCTTCTCCATTTGTTCCACCATCAACAATCTCTTCTCCAAGTAATGTCTGTTATTGTGGCTGATACTGCTATTTATTGTTTGGCTCAATGAATTTTACTTTGGTTTTTCTTCCCATTTGGTCATCATGGACAAAGAAAACTTTTCCATGCTACTGTTATTTTCTGGAAGCAGTCTATTTACTGCACAGATCCATAATTAAGAATTTAGTTTGCCGATGTTACCTCAAAGTTGTGTGAGTTAATGCCTACTAGCTTTATTTGAAGTACCTAATAGTTAATAGGATTTAAAGTATGAGGTCCAATGTTTGGCTTGACTGGTAAGTTGAACCTTCTACCTCAAAGAATTCATTGCTTTCAATGTCTTATGAAAACTGATACTGCATTGACATTCTTACTTGATAAGGGAAAGGACAACTTTTTTATTTTTATATTTGTAGTTTTCCTAACTTGATGTAAAATGTTCGTAGATAGCTATTTTAGATTAATTGCTTGACTCTGTGGCTGCTGATAAGTGTGTATTGAGATTGATTTGTTAGCTTTCTTAGTGAAGGGATTAGTTTTGTTGGTCATCCTGACAAAACCCGTAAACTTACTATCAAGAGGACCTTGACTTTTTGTTCTTGTTCTTGAACTAGGACAGCCCACGTTTATAGAAAATGAGTGTTTGCTGTTAATCTACTTTTGTGGTGGTTACATGCCAATTCCATATACAATTTATGAAATCATTTGATTTCTTCTTTTCTTTTTTCTCTTTTTTCCATTTTCATGTCAGGTTTGGGAAAGTATTATGCTGTATGTGCCAATGTAGAATCACAGGTAAAGATGCTTTCAGCTGCTAACACTACATTTCATTTGGTTTTAGCAAATAAAACTCTTAGTTTTAACCCCTCATTTGATACAAGAACTTTATCATCTTTCTTCTGCAGGTTGAGATTCAGTGCCTAACTCCAAGATCAAAAAGCAGGTTTGTTGTCTCACACGGGCTTTTTCTTTTTCCTTTATTTTTAGTGTGTGTGTTGTAAAAGTTTGTTGTTGTCTTTTTTCAGAGAAGAAAAACAGAGACACAAATATATTATACATCATCATTTGTGATATAATGTAGTGGTTTCCATGACAGAGACATGTCCAGCACCTTCCAGATGGTGCCAGGGCAGTTAATTGCATTTGTCTATCATATGATGAGTCATTCATTACATGAGAAAAGTCAAATTCATATTTATGTGTGAATGGTTTTTTTGCACAATGATTGTGGACTATCGTGAATTGTTTTGAATGTTTTTTTTTTGTATTTTTGTTTTGTTTGTTGGGTCAGTGGAAGCACCGAACAAGATAATTAGTCACTGGAATTTGGGAACAAAGTTGAATTTCAGTGGTGTTGATCCCTGCACCCAGAATGCAACCTGGGCTCCTGATTCTGCCAATCCCCAAATTGCCTGCCACTGCGCTGGCACTACCTGCCATGTCACCAGATTGTCAGTTCCTCCCTCATCATTTTCTTTGTACTTCCTATATACATGGTGGTGTACACGATTTGGTTCTTTTTCCTTTATTTTTAGTGTGTGTGTTGTAAAAGTTTGTTGTTGTCTTTTTTTCAGAGAAGAAAAACAGAGACACACAAATATATTATACATCATCATTTGTGATATAATGTAGTGGTTTCCATGACAGAGACATGTCCAGCACCTTCCAGATGGTGCCAGGGCAGTTAATTGCATTTGTCTATCATATGATGAGTCATTCATTACATGAGATAAGTCAAATTCATATTTATATTTATATTTCCTGTTTGTTGTTTGTGTTTGTGTAGGTAATTACGAAGGAAACACCTAACCTCCTTAGCAGAAACACACCTATTGATGAGTTTCCAGCAGCTTTGCAAGGTTTCTATTGGCGCTCACCAGAAAACAATCTTTTAATCATATTTTGGAGCAGTGGGGCAGGTCTTTTAATCTTTTAATCATATGTTTGATATTGTGTTTAACAGTTATTACAACCCTTGGTTCCTCCTGTAGGACTTTACGATACTGTATTTGATGTTGACAATGATAAAGAGAGAGCAGAAGCTCAAGGTCTTGAACCAAATGGGTTCAGTTTTGATGGAGCTGATGCAGCCGGTGTTGATTACGCTATTAATCGGTGAGTGGACTTTTATCTGTCACTCAAATTACAGAAATGTTCTTTTCTTCTTGTTTTGACAATTTCAGTATTTTAGTTTTTATTGGGAAATTTGCTCATTCAATTTTTTTTTTTTTTTAAACCCAACAAGTCAAGAACTTTGGGTATGAGTAATGAACATAAAAACATCATGTAAGATGATCCTATGGTTGAGCCACTAACACGAGCAAATAATATTACACTTCTTCTATCAGTCCCTACCTCTCATGAGGGAAATTATTCAGCTTCTCTTATTTTCTTTTCTACGCCCTTGAATTGTCAGAGCAGAAATTGAAGGACTGAGGAGAGTTATATAGATAAATAACAAAATTATATCTTCACTTCAGCTTCATTATACAATACAATATGCTCGACCTATGTTACCTGGAACACAATCATTTCTGTACAAGGACTGGGAACCATAACACAATACACTACATGCTTTAAAATATGGTACAATAGATAAATCTGTTTGGCTGCTACCTCCTTGAACAAGACTGAAGATCTGCAAACCGTTGCCACTCCCCCCTTCTTCCTTTCCTCATGTGCCTCTCTCTCTCTCTCTCTCTCTCTCTCTCTCTCGTGGGGTTGAAGAGCGAGAAGAAAGAATGATGATGACCGGATTGCACACTGTTGCTGATGTTTTTTGCATTGGGTGGGATCAATTTTGGGATGGAAATACGTAAGAGCATGAGGCAGAGTTCTTGAGATTATGGTTTACACGTGTTTAGTTGACTGTGGTGCTTAATTAAGTTCTGATTGTTAAATAAGTATTTTATTTATTTATTATTATTATTATTTTTAAAACTCTGTTTGTGCTTGTGTGCATGTTTGTGTGGCTCAGGAAAAAAATTGCAGAAAGGGAAGGTTTTCCCCTTCTAAACTGAAAGGAAAACGTGTTATTGAACTTGGGGCAGGATGTGGAGTGGCTGGTTTTGGTGAGTGTCTTCTGTTTTTGCATAATTTCTGATATGAATGTTATGTAGGGATGGCTCTAGTTTACTGTGATCTATTGCGAGGGGAATAGCTTAGTGTTTAGTGGTGTGGTTTTCAGGCATGGCATTGCTAGGATGCGACGTAGTCTCCACAGACCAAACTGAGGTTTTGCCATTGCTAATGAGAAATTGTGAGCGTAATGCATCAAGGATCATGCAAATGAATCCTGGTTCAGGTGTGCTTACAAGTTTCTGGTCTTTCCTTTTTCCTTACTTCTCTCTGAATTCAATTTCTTATCTAAATGACCATCATATATAATTGGTGTTCAACTGATATCGGCAAAGTTGTCAAATGTCATTGCTTTCTTACCTACTGTGGTAAAAAAAATTTACCGTTCTCTTACGTGAAAATTTTGTTTCATGTAGATTCCTTTGGTTCCATCCAGGTTGCAGAGTTGAGCTGGGGTAATGTGGATCAAATAAAGGCTGTTGATCCACCGTTTGACTACATCATTGGCACTGATGTTGTAAGTTTCGTTAGATAGGATTCGCTTATGCTTTTGTCATATCCTTTGCAGATGTCGAAATTAAGTCATTCAGACTTCAAATTTCTTAACGTAGGTTAGATAAATGAATGTATTACATGTTTGCATTATTCATCAATAACATTTCAACTAAACAAAAGGATTTCAAAATTTTGTACTAGGTTTATGCAGAGCATCTCTTGGAACCACTTTTGCAGACAATGCTTGCGTTGTCCGGACCAAAAACCACTATTCTGGTAAGTTGGGGTACGAGATTCGTTCTACAAATTTGTTTAGCCAAATTATCTGTTTCAAAACCATTTAACAGCTGAACTCATTTGTTTAACAGCAAAGTCTATAAATTGAATAGAATGTTTTGTGGGACGTAACAGATACTAATATAAGTTGCAACATGAAAAGAGATAAAATAAAGTACGTTTAGAACCTGTACGTAACACATTTGTTATAATTTCTTCTAAAAAGCTCTTCCATGCCTTTGCTTTATGGAGAAATCTACACAACTTTGATATCACAATATCAACTGGGTTAATTAATTAGACCGGCTAATAAATTGTTTTAATCGTGTGGTTGTAGGTTCAGTATCTTAGCAGCAGCAGCAGCAGCAATGGAGGTCAAATTGGAGCCACCACCGAAGGCAATCACCTCTCCCTGTCAATGAGCAACAATCAGCAAAGGCCGTTCATCAATCCTCCGCAACTGTTTGCAACTGCTGCAGCATCATCAGGATTCCCACAGCAGATAACTACCGGACCCCAAAATTGGCTACACTAGAAAAATTGATTTTACTCTCTGATTGACACCCTCTTGACCCAACTTTTTGTTTTTTGTTTTTTAAATCTTTATGTAACAAGGCCTTTGGAGTTTGTAAGCATGTAAAGATTAATGCTTTCAGCTTATATTTCTTCATTTGTGTGTTTCTAAAACCGTACATATGCATTATTATTTAGGCTGCCTTCTTATTTATTATTACATCAATAGGTCCTTGTTCATATTAAATTTAAAATTTAAGAAAATTAAAAAAAGGGGATATCACGGCGTTTCTGAAAACGCCACCTAAAACTCTAAAAGCTAACAGTAAGTTTTTTAAAAAGATATGGCGGCGTTTTGAAAACGTCGTTAAAATGATAGTGACGTCATAGTACCTTTGGTGGGATATTTGGCGGCGTTTTTAAAAACGCCGCCTATAGTCATATAACGACGTTTTTTTAAACGTCATAAAGCTATAGCGACGGCCGCAGCATCGGCGTTTGACATTAAACGTCACAAAAAGAATTAACGACGTTTGTTGTACCTATAGCGGCGTTTTTTAAACGCCGCTAAAAGCAGATTTTCCAGCAGTGAATCTATTCCTAGTTGATATATATGCCGAGTAATGTCAGATACCCTCACATTTACATCCACAAATTCACTCACAGTAATTTGACATTACAGTTGGGCCCATATTATTAAGCGTGTAATCAATCAAAAATTGACACATATTTTTCAACATTATTATAAATAAAATTGCGAGTACTTTTTTAGAGTCTCAAACATTTTCCATATATTCCTCCTCAAAAAAACAAAAACAAAAGCAGCCTAACTTTATGCGATTATGCAATGACCCACCCCAAGAAAAAGAAGCCTTGTTGAGCAGCAATCAAGCATTTAGCCCATCCATTTCTTCAAGAAAACCCCACAGAACAATTTCACCTTTTGAAAAAAAATAAAAAATAAAAAATAAAAATTTCTTCAAAGCAAGAGTCATAATAACCCATATATACACGGTTGTTTCAATGGTTTGTGACATATCATAAATTATTAGAAATTCTTTGTAACTTGTAAGCTAAGAAGTTGCCATGACCAAGAAGGCCAACAACCACAAGAACAAATCTCTTTGTGAGAAATCCATGCCAATTTTGGTGAATTTCATCAAACTCTCATCTATCTATCTTGCAAGTTTAAGTTTAGGAACAACTACTGTGGGACATACCCTACCTGATCAAAACCGTCCAGGCCAAAAAGGCATAGTCCCTCCCTGCCAAGAATGTCTTAAAGGTTTCTCAAATTCAAGGGAGTCAGACTCAGAAGTCACAAGAACCAGAGAGTGATTCCATGTCATACTCTTACTTGATGGATCCAAGTGAGAACAAGGGCTCTTCTTACATGGTCTCAGAAGTTAATGATTATACTGATAATAGATTTTCAGATTATATTCAGAGGTTTCATGACAAGAACCGAAGAGATTCGATTACTGCATCCAAAGGTTTGCCATACATATTGCCTCCTCCTCCACCTCGTCGAGCCAATTAGTTGTCATGTTTGAGTGTAATTTCTCTTTTGTGATTCATTCTGTAATAATTTCTCCAAGAATGTGATAGTGAAAGGGACTTCAAACTGGCAAAGTATTTGTTATATGTTATGTTGTTCATGTAAGCCTTTGTGTTAGGAAGAAAAATAAGGTGTTATTATATGTGCATCTGTGTTCGTTGATGATAGATTTATGTAAAAAGGCATAAATATTAGTAGATGGGTTTAGAATATTGACCATGTGTTTAACTAATGATATTTCATAATTTGTTCATATTATCTTTTGTTTCTGTTATTTTTATTTTTATTTTTGTTGGCCATTGTAAGCATATAGTCTTATTATTGGACGTGTGCATTAACTAGCATAGCATTCAAAAAAGACAGAATAATTACTTATAAAAATGAAAATATCATAACACGAGGCTCTTGTTGCTATAGAATTTAAAAGGATTATACGTATATAGTCCTAATCCAGGATACAAAAAAAACTCAACTATTTTTTTTGTAATTATTAAAATATTTGTTAACAAAAAGGAAAAAGAGCGAAGATCCATTAGAACTTTTGAGCATATGTTAACATGAATGTATAATTTCCCTTTTGAATATCAAACCTTATTTACATGTACTTGTATTGCAATCTATGTTTTCAGGTGTGGTTGTTGGTTATAGGTGCATATTTAAAAATTGGACTTACTAAATTTTAAATTTAATATGGAGACTCTACAAAATGGAGTCATATTTTCATTTATTTAATTTATTATGTAAGAATAAAATAGTATTGTATATAACATACAATATCAAAGTGGTAATTTTTTAACCTTACAATTCAACACTGCAGCCATTTCATTCATCCTAGCCGAAGAGACACCCACACCACATACCACACTCTTATGGAAATTTATTTTAAGACCAGACAGAATTTCGAAACATCTTAGCACCCTTTTCAACTTTCTCACCTCTTCCACCTCAGCTTCACAAAATAGGAGTGAATCATCTGCGAACTGTAAGTGAGACAATAAGACTCCCTTAGATCCTACCTTCACCCCTTTAATAAGATTTAGCTCACAAGCTCTACTCAACAACAAGTGGAGACCCTCTGCAACTAGGTTAAACAAGAAAGGAGACAGTGGATCACCTTGCCTTAGACCCCTTTGAGGGCTAAACTCTTCAGTTGGGGAACCGTTGACTAGAACTGAGACTCTTGTACTTGTAATACACTCCTTCATCCAATTGACCCACTTAGCTCCAAACCCAAGCTTCTTCAACATAGAGAAAAGGAAGCCCCAATTTATGGAATCATATGCTTTTTCAAAATCCAACTGGATAAGTACTCCCTTCTTCTTTGCTTTCTTCCAACCCTCAACAACCTCATTCGCAATAAGCACACCATCTAGAATGTTCCGCCCACTTAAGAACGCAGGCTGGGGCTCACTAATGATAAATGGCATGACAGATTTCAATCTCTTAGCCAGCAGTTTTGCTAGGATTTTATAAGTCGAACCCACCAAGCTTATGGGTCTGTAGTCAGTTAGCCCAATTGGATTGTCCTTCTTAGGAATGAGGGTTATGAAGGAACTGTTAATGCCTTTTACCAGCTTGCCATTCCTATGAAATTCGTTCACAAAGTTAATAACCTCACCCTTCATGACATTCCAAAACTTCTGGAAGCACAGCATATTGAACCCATCGGGTCCCGGTGCTTTGTTCCCATCACACTCCATCACAGCTGATTTTATCTCTGCTTCTGTAAACTCTGCTTCAAGCAAGTCAGCCCTGGCTCTATCTAGTACTGAAGGAAAGTGACCCCCCAACACAGGTCTTGCTGCCCAACTCTCTGAGAACTGATTTTGAAAATATTCAAGCACCTTGCTCTTTAAGATGGGGGTGGGTGATTGGATTCCATCACTCACTCCGTCAAATAAATTCTCACCAATTTGGAGGGGGATCATCTCTGCTGCTGATCAGTGCACTAGCCTTAAGGAGCATTACTTGAACAATTTTCAGTTGAAGGTAGTGGATGGGCAGAGGATAAGCTTTTGGGCCGATAATTGGCGTCGTTCTGGGTGTTTGAAGGATGAATTTCCTACTCTATTCAGGCTGTCTTTGGAGACCCTTCTCTGGTGGTGGGCAGGAGGGAAGTTGAGGAAATTAGAAAGGAAGATTTGGGGAGTAATTCCGATGGTTGTAATGTGGTCCACTTGGAAGTGCAGAAATGAGTGTGTGTTCAGTGCAATCACCCCGAATCTGGAAGATCTTTGTGAGGTAATCAAGCTTCGGATTGCCTTTTGGGTAAAACCTTACTTTCCAGATTTCTGCTTTACAGTGCAGGACTTCATCTACAATTTAAGTCAAATTAGAAGGTGCTTGGGTGGGTCTGTGGGCGGTATGTGAAGGGTATGTCAGTGTGGGTTTAGGCTCCTGGTTTGTGGACAGGCTGTCTGCCAGGTATGCGTCTGTGACCTGTTATTATGCTGTCTGGTATGTTGAATGAACTTCAGCAGGCTTGGGTATGCATGATGCTCTGTTGGGTGGAAATTCTGGAATAAGGCCAGAGGAGTAGTTCTAATGGAAATTCTGATATAAGGCCAGAGGAGTAGTTCTGGTTTGCCTCTGTGCAACATTGAAGTTATATGCCATGCAGTATGGTTGTTCTAATGGAAGCAAAACAGGGTTTCATCTAATTCTTTCCCGGCATAGAATCTGCTATGGCTCAGTTCTGGGTGTCCACACCTTACTTCCTTGCTGTCCAGATGAGCTAGGCTAATGGGTTGGCTTCATCTGTGTCATGCATTGTTTTGCAGGCTGTTGAGTCTTTTTGTTCCCTTTTGTGTTGTTGTTCTGCTCTTTCATTTTGGAGCTTCGAGCTTCAGTAAGCTTATAGCTCCTCTTTATTGATGTCTTGTATCCTTCTTGTATACTTTCATCAATAAAAATTTCTCTTTGCCGATCAAAAAAAAAAATTATATTTTATTTATTTAAAGTAATTATACAATAATATATAAATATATATAAAAAAATGTTAGATAAATGTATCCCACACCCTTGTCCAAGTATGGTGGTTGACACATTTGATTTATTTTGATAAAGTCCGCAAATTGATAATAATTAAGATGTTTTCTATGACATAAATAGTTTACAATTTTGAGTTTAATAAAATAAGAGAAATATTAGATATCCACATTTTTAGACTTATAAATCCACTCACAATAATATGGTAAAAGAATTGAGCGTATATGATAAATCAAAAGTTTACACTTATCATACTACTTTTTAGGAGTATCAAATATTTTCAAGAGAAAAAAATAAGTATATAAATTGGAAAAAATCACCTCAGGCAATTACCCAAATGGTCATGAAGGGGGCATTTAGGTGTTAAGGGGAGTGAGGTTTCAGATTTGAGCTTATGAAGAGACGTTGCCATGTGTTATAATCTAACTATTAATATACTAACCGTTATCTTGTGCCTAAGAAAAAACACAAAAAACAAAAATCAATAAATA